GCCTAGGCCATGAGCCACCAGCTTCTCTAGGAGAATGCTGTCGGAAACTGTGTCAAAGGCTTTACTAAAGTCTGGGTAGATAACACCCACAGCCTTTCCTTCATCCACTAGGCGGGTCACCAGGTCATAGAAGGAGATCAGGTTAGTCACGCAGGACTTGCCTTTCATGAACCCATGCTGGCTAGGTCTGATCCCCTGGTTGACCTGCACATGCCTGTTGAGTGTACTCAAGATGAACTGCTCCATAATCTTCTCTGGTACTGAGGTCAGGCTGACAGGCCTGTAGTTCCCTAGATCCTCCTTCTGGCCCTTCTTGTAGATGGGTGTCACAGTGGTAAGTCTCCAGCTGTCTGGGACCTCACCTGTTAACCGGGACTGCTGATAGATGATGGAGAGTGGCTTGGCAAGCTCCTCTGCCAGCTCCCTCAGTGCTCTTGGGTGGATCCCATCTGGCTCGATAGACTTGTGCGTGTCCAGGTGGTGTAGCAGGTCACTGACTGCTTCCTCCTGGATTATGGGGGGTTTATTCTGTTCTCTGTCTCTGTCTTCCAGCTCAGGGGGCTGAATACCCTGGGGATAACTCGTCTGACTATGAAAGACTGAGGCAAAGAAGGCATTAAGTACCTCAGCCTTTTCCTCATCCTTGGTGGCAGTGTTCCCCCCACCATGTCCAATAAAGGATGGAGATTCTCCTTGGCTCTGTTTTTGTTGTTAATGTATTTGTAAAAACATGTTTTTATTATCTCTTACAACAGTGGCCAGAATGAGTTCTAGCTGGGCTTTTGCCTTTCTAATTTCCTCTCTGCATGACCTAATGATATCCCTGTACTCTTCTTGAGTTGTCTGCCCCTTCTTCCAAAAGTGGTTAAACTCTCTTTTTTTTTTTTTTCTGAGTCCCAGCAAAAGCTCCAAAAGCTCCCTGTTCAGCCAGGAAGGAAGATTTATTTTTAAATTAGAATGTGGTTGATGTAGAGGAGTCATGAAAACTTGATCAGCTCTAGACCAACACTTAGTTTTTCAATCTTGAAAATTATACTGAGATAAATCTCAGATCATCCAGGTGCTTTTGATTTTTGACCTGTTCATCTTGATATGGATACGTGTCTATGCTTTCAGTGTAAATAATTGTGGTGGTAATCACTCTCTGGAAGCAAGTGGAGGCTGAGTGATCTTGTTAGTTGAAGTTGTCATGATAATTCAGGGAGTAATATCATGAGAGATGAGACAGAGAAACTGTATTTTTCCTTGTGAGTGAGAGTGTATCTACTGTTTGTCAGCAGAATTCACAATCTGAGGACATTTATGATCTTTCAGCTATAGTTAGATAATTGCTTAGGTGCAGGGATAAGACAAACTCTTTTTTTCCCCCTCCACCTTTTCACTCCAAAGCTATAGTGGTGACTTTCTATTTACTCTAATTCCCATTTTTTCAACTTTGAGATTACGTTATTGCAGTATTTTCTATGACTGCACTTTAGATTTACACAAAAGTAAAAGTGATGCAGAAACTACCAGCAAGCTTGTTAACTACTCTGCCTTTCTGTGAGGACTGACCTGCACTGGGTAGCCATTAGTCTTCAGAAGAAGTTGCTCTTGACATAAAAACTTCAAGCTGTTTGGCTGGCACTCCTCTGAAGAATTACTTTTTGACATACTGCCGCACCTGTGGTTGGTGAAGTTGCTTGAGCTGCCAGGCCTTGAGCATGTAAAGGGAAAGGACTGTTGGCAAGACCTTTTCAATAAAAGGGTCCTTGCTTCCACCCTCTCCATGCTCTGACCTGTGGAATGCAGAGCTCTGAGGAAGCAGCTTGAGAAGTGGTATTGGTGACAGAGTACTGGCTGGGTGTGACTTTTGTCTGCAGTAAATTCTGATGTTTTCAGTGTTGGTTTGAGAGGAAGCTGCTTCTATTTCTCTCTTTTGGTCTATATGATATGGCTCATCTACTTGTTGCCATTTAAAAGAGAGAGGGCTAGTCTATAATTAATAGACAGAAAGACTGACAGTGGTTAGTCCACCTATTGTCAACATTTATTATAAAATCAGATAGAAGTTTAAGATAGGTGAGATTAATTGCTATCTATCCCTCAGTCCGTTGACTGTAGAGGGAGCCTTGATAACAAACTTAGCCCACGTACCTATTGGTTAGACAGCTAAAACTAGATGAAGTGCATCTCACATTTCACCTCTTGATACTTGTCTTTATGTCAAAGAAAAGGCACAAAGAGTTTAGGGCTGCCACTAATACTGGATTTGCATATAGATTTTTACATAAAAGCATACTTGTTGATATTTTTCCATAACCAGACCTGATTTAAATCCTTTATTTCCATCCTTGCAGCCTCTCCCTTTAAGCCACCTCGAAATCTGAGAACTTCTGATTCAACTATGTCAAGTTTCCGAGTAACCTGGGAGCCAGCCCCAGGGCGAGTGAAGGGGTACAAAGTAACTTTCCACCCTACTGAAGATGACAGGAGTCTTGGAGAATTAATAGTGGGGCCATATGACAGCACAGTGGTATTGGAGGAGCTTAGGTATGGACAATAACTCATGTATTTTTCTTTTTTTAGAAATAACTTTAGCTTAGGGGTTTGTTTAACCATGACCTGGGATTGAAATGCCTGGCAAAATCTACTGTAAGAAAGTAAGTAATTTTGTCAGTAAGCTATGAGGATCTTGTTATGCAGTTTCTGAAAGGCACCTGGCAGGGCTCTTTCTGAGATTATTCACATCACTTGTCGTGTTCTCACAGGAACTGAAGGAGGCAAAGATGTGGGCAGAGGCTGTGTTCTACATTTCACGTATGAGAAAGCTAATGGGACACTGGAGAAAGTTGGGATTTCTAAAGTTTCCTCCCAAAAGTTCCTTACCTCATGTCAAAAAAAGCCTAGTTTAGTTCTTGATTTATTTTCTCAGAGGCCCGGATTCAGTAGGCTTCAGACCATGTCAAAATCTGTTATGCAAATATACTAAATATATTAAAAATAGGATTATTAATTAATTATGTTATTATTCTTTATTAGTCTTAAATTACTTGAATGAAGAGGGCTATAAATTTAAGTATAGAATCTAGAATCAGTTTTTAAATTGTCAAAACCTCACTGTCTCGTGAAAGAGCTAGTCTTTGGGCTTCATGTTTTAGTGTCGTCTTTCTCATGGGGGATTTTTTTCTGTGAGGATTTCATAAGTGAAGTGTCAGCATTTAGCTAGCAAGTGACTTCAGTTACAGTACTTTTGTTTAACTATTGCAGGGCAGGAACTACCTATAAGGTAAATGTTTTTGGAATGTTTGAAGGAGGAGAGAGCAGCCCCCTGGTTGGACAAGAGATGACCACCCTTTCAGATACTACTTCGGAGCCATTTTTATCTAGAGGTAAACATGACTGAATTGAAGAAAAGGCAGCCTAGGCTTTTGGATAAAAAAAGACCAAAAGTTTACCAGTGTTTTCTTATTGTTTTTCTAATGCACATAAATATTTATTTACAGGATTCAGTATACTCCCTACCCTGATGACATAACCTGTGGTCTGAAATGACCACTAAGTATGTCCCAGTTCACGATTCTAGTCCTCTGCACCCTTTAGATGATCTTACAAAGATGATAACTCAGGCAACCCATGTTTTGCTGATTACTCAAAGCCATCTGCATTGCATTTTCAAGCCATCCACATCTGTGTTAAATAACATATGGTCAAATTCTTGAACAGAGATCATGGCTCATCTACAGGGGTGTTCACAGGAGTAGAACAAAGAATTTTAAGCAGATATTTAGCCCTGTGCTTGTCCTTATATGGTGACTTTTCCTTTTAAGACTAAAATGGTATAACAGACAAAGATCTGATAGTTGGGAATGTCCCAGTGTTATTGTGTATTATTTAAGTTTCTATGTAATGTAATAATTATTTAGTCTTTTTTTTTTTTTTTTTTTTTGTACTATAAAAGGAGGAGACTTAGTCCAGAAATGAAATTGCTGAGTGGTCTCCAGTATCTGTTTGGGAGTTTCTCCCTGTGTAGCTAAACTTTCCAGTCAAAATTTCTATGAATGTTATGATAGCAGCTCTCTTGGTGTGGTTAATGGGCCTCTACATGCTAATAATTGTGCCCACCATACCCTCAGTTAGTACTGGATAAAGAGAGTTTCAGGGCTCAGTCCTCCTTTATGGAAAGCGTAAAGAAGCAGGTCTTTGCTTCTTAATAGCCAAGTATACATGTAGAAGTAAAGACTTTTCTCCTCTGCCATTTCAAGGCTTACATGACCATCAGAGGGGGTTTGGTGTGGAGAAAGAACCTAACTGCAAAGGCCTTTCAGAGTTAAATAAAGAAAAAAACCTCTTTCTGACAGTTGACTTTATGTTCTTTTTGCTTAACCTCTTTGATACCTTGTTTCCACGCTGGGCTATGTAAAAAAGTACTCACCTCGTAACTTTATTGACAACATTTTTAGAAACTTCTTAATTAATTCCTGTCCCACTCTGTCTAATATGAGAGGGTAAAACTGAGAATAATTATGTAACAGGCCATCAGTGACATTAGAGAAAAGCTGTAATAAGTCTGGCAGAAAAATAATTACACCAAGAGTGGTTTGGGTTTTTTTATTACGGCAGTTGTCATTTCTGTCTTCAGTGTTATATTCTTTAAGCTAATTAGTTTTACTAATGCATGGATTTGAGTCATGGTTAATGTGAAAAATGAATTTAATATCTGGGACTGTAAATGTAATAGTACATTATTTATTAATAGGGGAAAAAAAATCACCCTAGGTCTGGTGCGTTTGCTAGAATTTTCCATGTGGGGAACTATGGTAGTTGGAAGAAAAATAAAAGTCAAAATAGTTTAACTTTTATATTGTACATGAAGCTAACTTTAACTTCCATATTAAGGTTATGCATGCAATTTTTTGAACTAACATGGTTTTACTTAAACCCTACTTCCAACTGGTTTTATTGTCCTGACTAAAGACTAGATCTATATTTTCTATGCAGAAGAGGATCATGCTTTTAACTCCCAGGTACATGGAGTAGTTATATTCATGAGTCTACAGTGTTGGATCAATTATGTGGAACACATATGAAATCACAATATCTTTCAACTGTGATGAGTGTGGCTGATTTTTCTCAATGGGATTTCTTCCATATAAAGACCAGAAGCTCTGATGGCAAGAAGCCAGAAAATTTGCAGCTGGTAACACAATCTACAGGAAAAGAGAGAGAGAGCAAGGATTTTTTTTTTTTTTTAAAATGGCTGAAGATAAAATCATTATGTCTGTCTGTTTTGTACAAATATTTTGTGATTTTCCTTGTGATGAAAACAGTATGATGCGTATTTTATTCTGGAATTTGTAAACTGAAGATATCTGAAAAAGCTTCCTACCTTTTCAGAACATTGCAGCTTTATATAAATGTTTGTTCTTGTCCCACTCTATCTCTTGACCAGTGTTTATGTTTGTGTATCTTCTTTAAATTTTGTTCTTTCTTTCCTGTATGTGCAAACTTCTATACTACCTGTATTACTATGTCTTTTTCCCCTGAAAATTCAGAAATGCTATGTATTGGAAAGTGGTTGTAAGATATGCTATTAATTTCACTATTACATAGTTCAAAACTAAGCAGTAGTTTAGGCAACCATGACAGACTAAAATACGGTAAATTTGGATAATCTGATAATGCTCACTGCCATGTCAGTGGTTAGCTTAGTAGTCTTTTACAAAACCTCTGAAATCAACTTATCAACCATCTTTAAAGACTGAAATAGATAATGACATGACAACAGAGAAGAGCACTGGCCTTGACACTTGTGAAGGCTTGTTTATAAAAGGAAACATACATGAAGAAATTTGTACAGCTTTTGCCATGGAACCAGTGACTAGTGTGAATAACGTTTGCAAATAGGTCATACTTGACAGAGTGCCAGTGAATAAAACTAGAGCTATTTTGGAAGCTAACTCATGACATATGTCATATAAAAGGATATATCATGCTAAGGGTATATTTTCTGGTTGAAAGGTATCATGCTAAGGTTATATTTTTCTGGCAGGTTTAGAATGTAGAACCAGAGCAGAAGCTGATATTGTGCTGCTGGTGGATGGCTCATGGAGCATTGGGCGGCCAAATTTTAAAACCATCAGGAACTTCATTGCCCGTATTGTTGAAGTTTTTGATATTGGTCCAGACAAAGTACAGATTGGTAAGTCCTCATATGTTGGAGGGAAAATGAGGTGTAACTGCTACACAGCCACATAATAACTGAGTAATGATGGGTTTTTTTCCAGGTCTTGCACAGTATAGTGGAGATCCCAGGACAGAGTGGAATCTCAATGCTTACCGAACCAAACAGGCTTTGTTAGAGGCTGTAGCCAACTTACCATACAAAGGAGGCAATACTCTAACAGGTATGTCACACTGCCAGGATTTTCCTTAAGATCCAATAAAAATAATTCTAGTAGCTGACCCCAGTATTGTTCAGTGAGCTCAAATTTGTCCATGATGAAGGGGTCTTACAGTTCAATTCAGTATGTTTGGAAGAGAACAGGCATAGTGTGTAGACATATAAATTCAGTGGAAACCTGGCGAAAAGTGATGGAGGAGAGCTTGGATGATGAAGAGCTTGGGTTACTGTTGAACATATGAGAAGAAGAAAAGGCAGTTTCATATGAGGGTTGGGATGAAGACAAGGTGCAGACCTAGAAGGGAGGCTAGAGGAAATCAGATAGAAGGGTGATGAATAAAAGATAAGAGATTAGAGACTTTGAAAAGGTCTGAATAGTATCAGTTGCTGGTAAGTCTAGATGGTAGGCTGCAACTAGATTCTGAGTGCTTCCACAAGGAAATAAATTGTGGAAAGATGTTGTCAGAGTGAAATCACTAGGATGAAATACTCTCCTTTGCCATGATTACCATGTGGAAATAGTTTATATTGATGGCTACCTTCTTTGTATCATGCTAGGAATGGCCTTGGATTTCATCTTAAAAAACAACTTCAAACAAGATGCAGGCTTAAGGCCCAGAGCTCGCAAAATTGGTGTTCTCATCACTGATGGCAAATCACAAGATGATGTAGTCACCCCTTCAAGAAGACTCAGAGATGAGGGAGTGGAACTTTATGCAATTGGTAAGTACTATATGAAGAAGTGGCCTGTGCCAACCGCCTCCTGCCCATTTGCTAAATGCACAGGGAAGTGACAACATGCATAAGTACCTAAAAGGGTATTCAAAGAATGTGTTTAGGGACTTAAGTTCATGGCGTTGTGTTTCATGGCCGTCATTTCTAACAAGTTTTGTTTTCATGTCTTCTCTGCAAGGTATTAAAAATGCAGATGAAAATGAATTGAAGCAGATTGCAACGGATCCAGATGACATCCATGCTTACAATGTTGCAGATTTCTCCTTCCTGGCTAGCATTGTTGATGATGTGACCACAAATCTGTGTAACAGTGTGAAAGGTCCAGGTACATCACACTTTCAATCTAATTCATCCTTTTTCCATTTACGTGCTTGCACTGCTAATTCCTTTTTATTACTTACTGGGAACACTGTGTAGCCCTGGGCTGTTTTTTCAGCTGCTGGTGTGAGGAAGTTGTACAGACCACCTGGACTACCCTGCAGGGGTTCTTCCTTTTCTTTCAACAATGACTGTATTATACTTAACACAGCATGACATGGCTGGACATGCCTTCTTTTCTTCCAGAATCAGGAAGTATGTTGCTCAGTGTGTCACCTTTTTGCTCATTGCGGTGGGTTCTTTGATGATACACATACAATAATGAAGATTTCAGCAGCCCTGCTCAAGTATTAATGTCTGAGAGCCCAAAAGCCTGGCATAGAAAAACAGTAAAGTTAGCTGATGGTTCTCCAGCAAAACACTAGTGTTGAATGTGGAATAGGAATGATAGGGAGCTTGTTTGGTCTTGAGGGTGTGATGGTGAGCTATCTCTTCACACAGTTGTTTTAAGAATTCCTGAGGAAACAGGAACATAAACAAGTACCTAAAGTGTTTTTTTTTTTTCCCTAAGCAATTTTTTTTGTCTCATGTTTCTTATTCCTGATGATATAAGATAAATTAATATTTTTTTAATTTGCTTCCATTTGTAGGTGATTTGCCACCTCCCTCTAACCTAGTTATTTCAGAAGTGACACCTCGTTCTTTCAGACTGAGATGGAATCCACCTCCTGAAAGTGTTGATAGATACAGAGTTGAATATTACCCTACCTCTGGAGGTAGCCCTCAACAGGTTAGTACTTCCAGTAGTATGTTCATCTCTGACATTGCCCATAATAACCTTGGACTTCCACATCACAGTAACGTCATTCTGAAGTTTGTGCTGTGTATGGTAGAACAGTAAATGAAAAAAGGCTCTCAAGGTCAAGAATATCATGCCTTGGTAAATGATACACAAAATTACAAAAAGTAGGAGCATAAAGATGACTTTGGGTGTTTTAAAATCATGAATCCAGGAGTAAAAAGTATTTCTTAAAAACAGTTGACTGGTATTTCTAGTGATTCCTTTCTCTTCATATTCTGCTGTCATATATTAGTTTAAATAAGACTGTAGTAGAAATTTTCTGAGCATACTCATAGGTAAGCTCACTGTCCTGTTAGTTCAGTTTCTTGTTAATAGAAAAAAAGACAGTGGGTGAAAGAGGTTGTGATGTAGTGCTTAGATTAACATTGTATGCTGGCACTTTGAATCTATGCCTAAACACGTCCTCCAAACTGTTTAATGTACAGGGTTAAACTCATCTTGTGGTTATTACTTCTCTACACAGAGAGCCAGTAACCAGCAACCCTTGATTCTAGACAACCTGAATTGCTCATCACTCTCTTCAACCAGCCAGAATAGTATTTAGGAGAATGAAGTTAGGCACCTCTTTGTACCTAACTCTGAACTTCCCATCGTGAATGTGGTTTCTAAATCTTAACTCAGATTTGACTCATGGAGAATTTAGTCTTAGTAAATCATGACCTCAGGATTTGGCCTTTGATTAAGGTTGGAGCAGTCATTCCAGTGCACACTGGCTTTACAGCTTGACTACTCGCTGGCATTTCTATTCTGCGAGGTGTTGCTAATGCCATGTGCTGTAACCATCTGGATTATCCTGGGCATTTAAAACCTTTTTCCAAAGTGGTAACATATATCCCTGGCACTTTCTTTATGTTGCTGAGTAATACAAAGGTGTAAACCATGTATGAAAGCAGGATGCACAGTGAGTGCTGCTAGATATATCCAACTCTGTTGAAAACAAGTGTCTGTCTGAGGTTTCCCTACAGCTTGCTTTGCAAAAACAATGGTATACTGGCAGACAAAATACATAGGAGATTAAGACCATACTTATTTTTAGTTCCATACCATTGATTTCTGAAGAGCTTCACAAGGAATGATTTTTTTTCTTAGAGATAAGATTACAAATGCATTTGTTGTACAGTGGTTAACATTGCTTCTCTTTTATGTAGTTTTATGTAAGCAGGATGGAAACAACGACAGTTCTGAAAGATCTGAAACCCGAAACAGAATATATTGTTAATGTGTTTTCTGTGGTAGAAGATGAAAGCAGTGAACCTCTAATCGGCAGGGAAACAACTTGTAAGTTAGAAATGGAACTTGAATAACGTGTTAACAGCTGGTTTGGCGTCTGGGGAACTGTCCAGTAGAACTTCTAGCAGTATGGGCTTTCTTCTTAGAGGAAGCAAAATTTTTAATTTGAATGACCAAATTGTGTTGTGTTATGCTGGTTGTTTAGGTCTTGGCTGGAAAACTTCAGCAAAGTGAAACTGCAGTGTGGTAAAAAATGTTTGTCCCAGCTTCTTTCCAGGCTCATAAAGCATGGCTGTACAAGACTAGAGCAACAGACACGAATTACAAGACAGACTTTATAAATTCCTGAAATCTGATCATATACAAACACATACTCCTTCATATTCATGCTAGATAATTAATTCCTGTGACTATCAGCCAGAATACTATAGACATTCATTCTAATTTTATAAGATTAGCAAAAAGCCAGTTCAACACAATTATGTCACTTCTATGAGAAATAACTGAGCCATGTTTCTACTATTAGCTGTCTATATGATTGATTTTAGGTATATTTATGCTGAGTGCAACATAGGGTGACTTTCCTGCCTCTTTAAGAATATTGAATGTTAGGTGTTCATTTCACTTCTTTGATTGTTTTGTATTAGGCTTGTCATAAATCCTTAAAGTATGTACATGGTTTTTATGAAGTCTGTGGTAATTTTTGATGTTTATTTAATAATTGGAGAAATATAGAAAACAAGAAGAAAGCAGAAAATATCTTTTTACAAGTACAGATCCCAAACCATTCATGTCATTTCATATTAGAGCATTCATGTGAGTTAATGTTGCTTTTTAGAATATTCAAGTATTCCAGTGCAAACTTGTAAGATAGTTTAGCTGTGTGTATAGCAAATCTGTAGCACATTCAAATTGTGACAACTATTACCTCTTTCTTAAACTAAGCACCACTTAAAATACCACTACTTGCAGATCACCTTTCTACTACCCATAATGTACCCTAATACCCATGTGCAATATTCCCAGTGTACTACCTGTGATGTGAAATATGAAAGGTGAAGAAGGTGAAGGAAATAAATTAATATGTATTTTTTATTTGACAGTGCCAATCTCTTCAGTTAGAAACTTGAATGTTTATGACATTGGATCAACTTCCATGCGAGTGAGATGGGAACCTCTCAATGGAGCTACTGGTTATTTGTTAACGTATGAACCCGTGAATGCCACAATCCCAACCACAGAGAAAGAGGTAAGAGAATTTGTCTTCACTTCCTGTACTCTACCAAAAATAAATTAAGAAAAACTAATAGATTTTCTTGGTCTATCATAATAGTCAAAAGAGACTGGCATGTACTTCTTGAAGTGCAGTGAACTTGCTGGGATATTGTATACAATGACATCAGTCAGGAAGCTGTAAATATACTGTGAATCTCACAAACAAAATTCCCTTGAAGTTAAATCATTGCTTGCTTTTCTGCCATTGCTTTCTTCAGTTTTTAAACATGGTGTGTTATTTTTCATGTGCAGATGCGTGTTGGACCATCAGTGAATGAGGTGCAGCTGGTAGATCTCATCCCCAATACTGAGTACACTTTAACAGCTTACGTATTGTTTGGTGATATCACCAGTGACCCACTCACCACCCAGGAAGTGACATGTATGTACATTTTGATTTTTGCTTTGTTATTGCTTCAGCAACATTTAATTTTATTTCATGCAACAGTTTTTATATATTCTGTTTTGTTTAGAAGATCATCTTTTCCATGTTTCTTGCATTTTCTAACACTCATACATGTCCAAAAGATCTTAAACGCAATTTCAATGAAAAGGGACCAACTATTAAAAGAGACAAAAAGAGTTTTTTCCTTGAATAATGAAGGAAGTTGGCTTGACAAACTTGAGGTTATAGTGTTTTTAAAAGGTCTCAGTTTTGCTTGCATTAACTCAGACATATTCTCTTAAGTGTAGAAAATGCTAAGGAAACATGCCATATCAAGAAAAAATTGATCTAAACACAGCTTTCTTTTTTATACTTTTCCTTAAACATCTTTCCTTAAACACTTCCTATTGGCAGAGGCATGTTTCTGGGCTAGATGCATGCAGTATGGTTATTTGTATGTTCTTAAAAAATATTAAACCCTTAACTGTACATGAAGGGTGGCTGTTGTCACCAAAAGTTATGATCTTAAGCACTGATACTTCTAAAAGTATTGTGCTCATAATTTACAAAGGTGAAGCTACCGTAGTTTCCAGCTATTTTGCTCATTGCTGGGACAATAAATTCCTAAGCTGTCTCATCTAATGGCCAGAGCAATGAACTTCCCAGAAAGTTATTGCCTCTATTTAAATGAAATGCATGAAAAGAATTTAGTTCCTTCTGTGAGAGACCTATACCTCTGTCATGAATAGCATTTTCACTCACTACTGTCATTATTTTTACAGTACCTTTGCCTGGACCCAGAGGCTTAACAATTCAAGATGTTACTCACAGCAGCATGAATGTCCTTTGGGATCCTGCCCCAGGGAAAGTTCGAAAATATATCCTAAGATACAAAATAGCTGATGAAGCTGATGTAAAGGAGGTAAATGACAGGAACATTTTTGAAAGTACTAGAAAACAGTTTTATTTTGAGGAGCTACATTACTAAAATAATAGTAAAAGTAGTATTATAAGCCACCATTGAGAATAAAGATATCAGTCCATGGTGGCTGCAGTCAGGAAAGGGTACTGATTTCTTGGAAACTGAATGAACACAAGATAGATTTCATTGTGTACTCCCCTGTTCCTCCTCCTCCAGAGAGGGAAAATCCACAAACTGCCTGGAGAATTTTCCTGTGCTTTGATAAATAATGATTTCTACTGTCTGTCTAAGTGTTATCTAGCCAAGCTCTAAGAATGGCTTACAATTAGGAGGACAAGATTGTGGAATAAAGGTTTGTTAGCCCCTTTGCCTACTCTCAGAACACGTGCAAGCATTGTTAGAGATGTGTTTGAGTTATGTGCAAGCTTTCCATAATTGCACTGCTAGGCATGAATCCGCTTTTGGAGGATTAAATGTGTTTTTGTAAGGGAATGAGAATTTTCTGGAGAGGCAGTTTACTTCCTCGTTTCCAAAAGAATGAAGCAGTGAGAGATCCAAAAGTAGTACTAGTATCTGAGACAATATGCTTTGCAAGGGAGTTAGTAGATAGCACTCAATATTCAGGTGTAAATTTAGGGGTAAATGGCAAAATTTAGTGTGGAATACTTTTCTGTTTTTCAGTACAGGAATTTCTGCCATTTAATCAAATGCAGAGCCAGAATTAGAGCAATTTACAATTCTTAAGTCACTATTTTTATTCTTAGGTGGAAATCGACAGACTCAAAACCAGCACTACTCTCTCTGACCTTTCCTCCCAAACACTTTATAATGTAAAAGTTGTTGCTGTATATGATGAAGGGGAATCCCTACCAATAAATGCAGAAGCTGTCACTCGTAAGTTTTCCTAATAAACCTTCTAGTGGTTATTTTTGCCTTATGTTCTATTTACGTTGTGGGTGTTGCAACATATTTCTGAGTTTAGGTGGAACTGCGATTCCATCTGGAAATATTTTAATTGCATTTATAGCATTATTTGCAATACAGTAATCCCTGGGAATCTTAGATGAGTTCAGTGTCTTAGTGCAGTAAGCACTGAGCCTGCAGTCTGCAGAGAGGTGACAGACCAGCAACTGGAAGAAAATTATTTGTGTTTAGAGGCTGAAGGAGAAGTGTAGGGATAGAATCAGTGAGAAAATATGAGGGCAGAGGAAAGTCTATGTAAGTCTATGCAGGAATCCAGGAAAGTGAGTAGGAAACTGGGGCATATGCTAGAGGATTAGAGAGACATGATCTTGCTTCTGATCCAAGAGAGTTTTTGTACCATGGAATGCTAAACCAGCCTGTATTTTTAAAAAATCATAAAGCTAGAATTTGAGTAATCGCAACAAATGGAGGCAAGGAAATGGTGTTGCACAAATGATAAGAGCTGTTCTCCATAAAAGAGAGGTGAGAAACTGAAATGAGAAAGCTGATATCAGGGAAGCCCACATTCTGATTTAGGCTTATGATTTAAGAAGACAGCTAACCAGAAGAGCTAGAATAGATATGAGCAATGGTACCTTATCACTGCCCCTCACTCTGATGTGAAAAAAAGAGAAAAAACATGCATGTGCTCTCTCTCTTTTTTTCCTTCTGAATTTTTCATTTTGTAGCCTGGTGTATTTAAAAATGTTTGTGAGATTTTTTGCTTTCTTTTGTGCTAGCCTTTCTTCTATAGCTGTGGTTTTAATTTTAATATCTGAGAGAAACTCATGCAGGAGCTTGACCTCTGTGTGTGGGAGTTCATAATCGCTCCTTCTAACTCCGAAATGTAAGAGCTAGGACTTCAGTTGTTGTGAGTAGGCATGTGAGTTGTGACCTCTACTGAGGTCCATAGAGCTATGTCTGTTCTATCTGGTGATGACCTGGTGATGTGACCTTATGAAGGACAATTTGCTTAGTGTAGGTTGGCTGGGTTATACTACAGCATTTTATTGTAGTCATTAGAAGCATGGTAACTGAGAGATGAATCTTCTATGTAATCTTCTAAATTCTTTGTCTGAGTAATTCCTTGGTTTAACTGTATTTATTTTGTAGTTACATTTTATGGAATACTTTTCCTTTTCTCATAATAGAGCCTGTGCCAGCACCAGTCAATCTCAGGATCACAGATGTAACCACAAATAGTTTCAGAGGAACTTGGGATCATGGAGCTCCAGATGTCTCTCTCTATAGAATAACCTGGGGACCCTATGGAAGACCAGAAAAACAGGAGGTAGGAATAGCTAGTCGCCATAAGATTTTGTGGGTCACTCAGAGGGTATATTTTTAAAATCAGAAATGTAATTAATAAATGGCCTATAACTTGCAAGCCCTCCTATTGTGCTCAATGGAAATTCAGGGAGAAGGTGTAGAACACATAGTTACAGCCACTTGTAGTAATGTTACTGTGTAAAAAGTTACTCAGTTATATCCCACTCTCTCTTTGTTTTGGTTTGTTTGTTTTGATTTATTTTGTTTTTTTTTTTACTTTTAAAAAAATTTCTCTACAAGACTATCTTAAATGGGGAAGAGAATAGTGTGGTCTTTGAAAATTTGAATCCAGATACATTATATGATGTCTCAGTTACGGCCATCTATCCTGATGAATCAGAAAGTGATGACCTCATTGGCAGTGAACGAACATGTAAGTAAATTAAGAGTTTCTGCATGTTTTTATTCAAAGTTATTAAATCAGAAGGCATACACATACAAGAATTCTGAAAACTCTTTCTACTTTTTTCTAGTACCCTTGGTACCTGTCACCACACAAGGTAAGAATCTGAATTTCCAGGTATGGTATTATTAAAGAAAACTCATAGCTATCTTCTTCTAAACTGTGAGGAATGTTGACATTAAAAAGCTGAGATAATTTAATAAATATTGTTGCGTATTTGGAAGAATACTACGCATTAGATTACCACATGTTTATTATTTTACAAACGTTACAGTTTATGTTGTCTTGTACTTAATACATTCTGCTCTTGGTCAGGCATTCATAGAATCATAGAATCATAGAATCGTTCAGGTTGGAAA